TGGAAAATCTGTGATGGGACCAATGACCAGGAGAGCTGATATTTTCTTTTCAGAAGCTGAGGAAGACTTTGACACATGAAGATGGGCTTCTTCCCCCCCGGCCCACGGCCAGTGCAGGTTCTGCCATCAGAGCTTCCTACACAGGGATAAAGCAAGCTGGGGGACAACTCTCCCCTTTGGGGACAAGTTCAAGCGACCTCCCTTCAGTTTTTATCTTGGGATGATGACTCCTCTGCCTGTGCTGACCCTGCTGACCCAGCCAACCATAAATGGAAGCAGAGATGTCCCCAGTGAACCACTGGCCATGGCACTCAGTGCTTTGGGTTGGGTAACGAGTGGGCATTGGGCACAGCTTGGACTTGGTGCTCTTGGAGGTCTTTTCCAACCTCAATGATCCTTTGGTTCCAAGGTCCCTCTCTTGCAGACGTCTGCCTTTTGCAGAAGACCCCCAGCCTTTCTTATGCCTGCACATAATCCCTCCTTTTTCCCATCTAAAATGCCTTTTTTCATACGGGAGTGATAAAAGTTGTGCATTCCCCATCCCTGGAAGTGTCCAAGGCCAGGTTGGACAAGGCTTGGAGCAACCTGGTCTAGTGGAAGGTGTCCCTGCCCATGGCAGGGGGTGGGACTGGATGACCCCTAAAATCTTTTCCAACCCAAAGCATTCCATGATTCCGTGATAAATCCCAGCAGGAACAACCAGCTGTGGTTTGCTCCAAAATGAAAGCGAGGTGAGATGTCCTCTGGTGACCTTCTTCTTCAGGAGAAGGAGTCAGGGCTGAGACCCTCCCATGGCACGGTGGCTTTGCTACATCTGGGCTGTCACTTTGGGGGCACAGATGTCCCAGCCCAGTGATGCCTTCATGGGGCATCCAGAGAGCAGCTCCCAGTGGAAAATCAGTGGATTGTGGTGGGAGAAGAACACGGCGGAACACGAGCACTGGTGGGATAGTCAGGAATGTTCCCGGAGCCAGAACATTCAGGGGACATCAGGGGAGTGTTGAAAATAGGAGCTGTGGATGGGAATCAAAACATCAACCACGAGGAACAGCTCTTCCTTAGCTCAGGGGTTGGGAAACCCCTCTGGATTGAGAGGGAGTAGGAAGGGATGGGGAAGGGGAGCAGGGTGGAAAATCCCCCTGAAAAAAAGCCAAGTGCTGACCAGCCAGGACAGAGACACGAAGACCAGAGGTCCACCTGCTCTGGGGGTACTCACAAACTGCGACTTGTCCGCTGGAGGTGCCTCAGTGATGGATTTCAAGTCCTCCTCCGAGATCCTCTCCATCTCCTCCAGGGCCGAGCCCGAGTAGAGCACGGCGTCCTTCACGAAGATGCTCACGGCCCTCAGCATGAAGGACACGAACAGGTGCATGTGGATGTAGTTCCTAGTGCAGTGCAAACGCCTGCAGGGGACACAGAGAAGGGTTGGGGGAAGTTTAGCCCGTCTTGGGGGACGTTCTTGGGGTCGTCTCTGCCTCCAAAGAGCCCCCCGGCTCCTCCCGGCCCCGCGGTGCCGCCACCGCTGCCCCGCGCTCACCGATCCCCCACGGGCATTAACTCCTGC